ATTATTTTATTTATTATTATTATTATTATTATTATTATTATTATTATTATTATCATTTGATTATTATTTCTGACATGTCAACATTATCGCAGTAATTAATAGTTCGAATCAGTAGTTTTAAGGCAATGTTTTAGTGGGTTATTTCCTGGTTTGTAAATTAAGTAATCTAACCATGGTCATAAATGAAAAAGCGGCAGCAAATTGAAACACATGTGATCTCAAAGATTGTGAAGAAAGAAATATAACTCATTGTATATATATATCACAATTACTTATTAGTCAATCTAAATAAACCCATAGTTACCCAAACCGTTGGACTGAAAACAACTCAGTCTTACGGCACATGAAGTCAGTTCAAAAAAAGAAAATAGATTTGAACAAACAAAAAACATAACTACAACACTCAACAGCTCATTCTTGTTCTAATTTTTAAAATCCCCGCACAGACTTATAAAATATTAATGATTATATAGAAAACATACATCTTTATATTAGTCGTATATGCACGAAAATATGTTTGTTAATTAATTAATTAATTTTTTTGGGGCGGGGGGGGGGGGGTCAGAGGTACATGCAAAAAATCAAGGCAGTTCGTCACTTTGTTTCGATGTAATGAGGTCGACAAGTTGTCCATTTGGTGTTGTCCGGACTATACAGAGCGTGTCGCTGTCTCAAAATGAGCAATTTGAAGGCAAGGTTACTGTAAGTCATTTATTTTAGTTATCATGTTAGTGCATCTAAAGAGCGGTTTTTACTCGGCCGTCAAGATTTAAAAAAAAAAATAGATATACAGTACTATTAAAAATACATAAAAAACAACTACAACTAATCTACGCCTCGCAACGCCAGCGGAGTCCAGAAGGAAATATCACTAACGGGGAGGACCCAAGACACTAAAAATAATATGAAACACTCGTACGCCCCAATCAACTATGTGCTTTTGATTTTTTTTTTCCAGCGCCTTCATACTCCGAATGCACAAGTTATACAATTTACGAATTAAAGTGGCTTTCGGGTTTATTATAATTAATTAGGGCCCCCACACTGAAACACAAAAATTTAAGGGAATTGATTCAAATTATTCTTTATCTCATGTCAGTTTCACAATACACGGGGCAAACCAGTCAACCAGTTAATGCATATTATGGTATTGGTATTGTCCAATCTCTCTCTCTCTCACTCTCTCTCTCTCTCTCTCTCTCTCTCTCTCTCTCTCTCTCTCTCTCTCTCCCTCTCTCTCTGTCTGTCTGTCTGTCTCTCTCTCTCTCTCTCTCTCTCTCTCTCTCTCTCTCTCTCTCTCTCTCTCTCCCTTTCTCTCTGTCTGTCTGTCTGTCTGTCTGTCTCTCTCTCTCTCTCTCTCTCTCTCTTTCTCTCTCTCTCTCTCTCTCTCCCTCTCTCTCTTGCCCTTTTTAACTCCTAGTGGAGCATAGGCCATCAACAACATTTCTCCAGCGAAGCCTGTCCTGTGCATCCTTGTCTAGCTGTTTCCATGATGTCCCCGCCTTTTCCATTTCTGCATGTAGGCCCTATATACCGCTCGCCTCCATGTCATCTTTGATCTTCCTTTCTTACGTTTTCCTTGTGGAGTCCACGTCAAAGATTGTCCAATATGTACATTGTTCTAACTTCATCAAAGAAAGCAGAAAAATCCAAAGATCCCTACAGGACCATCTACCAGCCACAGTGAACATGCTGAACCACACCCCAGAGGCACCATCATAGGAAAAGAAAAACACAAACATAATTATACACTTATCCATTCCTATGTTCACCACAAAAGATGACCACAGCGACCTGAGCAAGAAGTCCCTCACCCTGTCCATGCTTGAACAAAGATACCCACGAGAAGCATGGATAAGGATCTATAGACGGATCTGCCACTGATGCCGTGAAAAGAGGAGGAGCAGGAGAGTACGTACAATTCCCAAATGGACGACGACAAGCAGAGGCAGTCCCAACAGGGCGACACTGTACACACTACAGGGCAGGGACGGAGGCTATAATACATGCAGCAAACATCATCAAGAATGTGGTAGACCCCAAAGCCAAGTAGTGTTCCTAACAGATGCCATGTCAGTACTGCAGGCAATCACTTCTGGCAAACTACCGAGGCTACGAAAAGAAATTGAGGACATCCCATGTCTGAGGATCATGCTGCAGTGGATTCCATCACACTGTGGTGTCTTAGGAAATGAGCAGGCAGACAGGATGGCCAAACTAGGAGCACAGAAAGAGCAACCAGACAACAGCGTTAACTACACAGAAATAAAAACGATTATAAATTAATACACTTGTTAAAGCACCTCACACACCAGATGGCTACCATGAGCTGTCCCGCCAAGAACAAGTGATTATCTTCAGACTAAGGACACAACACACAAGACTGAGACAACCTATGTACAGATGTTTTAAACTAGTACAATCACCAAAATGCCAGTGTGAAGAGGCGGACCAAACTGTTGAACACATCCTTCAGCACTGCAAGACACAGGGCCCTGAGACAGGAAACGTGGCCAACCCCACTGACGCTGCAAGAGAAGCTATACGGGCCGACAGATGGACTGAGCAGGACAGCCCAATTTATGACAGATACAAGACTTCAAGTGTGATGCGATCGAGAAAAGAAGAAAGATACATTTGTACTGGTGTATAATTTCACATTAGACCAACAACAATATTTTTTTTTTATAATGAAGAAGAAGAAAGGCACAGGTAAAAAGTTCTCTGTCTCTCTCTCTCTCTCCAGCGAGCTGACCCCTCAGCTCTCTCCCTCACTCTCTCGTTCTCCCCTCTCTCTCTCTTCTCTAGTCTCTCTCTCTCCAGCTAGCTGATCTCTCACCCTCACTCTGTCGTTCCCCCCTCTCCCCCCTCCCCCCTCTCTCTCTCTCGTAAGGGGCGGGCTGGATGGAGGTAAGGGGTACAAACGAACGGAGTTTAAAAAAAATTCATTCCGTACTACCTTTTTAAGAAAAAAAACAACGTTGAAAGCTACATTAGGCCGAATTTATAACAGCCTCGTTTATAAATTTGGGATTTTGGCAACATCAAGCTAATAAGAAGTAGTCCCCGTTAGATCTTTTATAATGTATAGACATTGTAAAAAGTTCTTTAATAACAGACATTTAGAAGGACATGCTCGGCAATAACAGCAGTGGCCCAACCATCGACAAAATTCTGATAGATCTAACACAACATGTATATGATAAAAGTGATCCCATTGGTTAACCATTAGTTACGTAAATGTGATCTCCGCCTCGCCTAGGATTCGGCTATAACAGGGATCATAACTTCACGTCGGTCTCGGTCTTTCGTGGTCCCGGCTGTCCCGTAAATAGATTCTAGCTAATGTTATTTCAAGTGCATCTAACGGATTTAAAAAATCATGATATTATATTAATGGGTAGATCTACATTTATAGATCTCCCATAAAACCACACGCAAAAAACCTAACAACTTTGAAAACTAAAAAATAGAGAAACAAAGCTAAAACGACTACTATTACTAAGCTATTGTACATAATAATTGACAGCAGAAATATGCACCACTGCGCTCTAAGATATTCAGCTCAGTAATGTGAACTACATCGTTTCTTTTATCGTTTTGTCTTAGGCCCATGGTCTTAGCCTAGGGCCTAGGCCTTCTCAGTTCCTAGGCTAGGCTATTATTATTAGGTCTGCGATTCTTGCTCGGCTTCGGTGAATTCTGGCCGTGATAGGGCAGGGCAAGTAAATCATTTCAGAGGACACAAATGTTCTCTACATAAAACTACATTTTTGTACTATGCCCAGACCTATTGTGCACACGAGTTGTGTATATAGGGAAATTTCTTCAGAAAAATCCAGACATTGGTGACACATCGCTCTGACACTTTTTGGATTATACGGCACAACATATTTTTTATGGTTGAAACATTTCATATGAAAAGAACAGAAATCGAACATTTACTGGGTTTAGTGACCAGTTTTGTTTACTTTCGTCGCCGGCCATAATCAAATCGTTTGTACTGCGCAGGAAGACAACATCAACACGGAAAGAAGTGCCGTCAGTCCAAGATGGAGGCGGTGGCCCTACATCCCTTCACTGCTACAGCTGACGATGAGCTCAGCTTCAAGAAAGGAAATACTTTGAAGGTGTGTTTCTGTTATCGAAACAACATGCTTTATAAAAAATTTCGGCATTATAATTGAGTCAAACGGTGTCAGTTTTTTTAACCACTTAACTGAACAAAAGGATAGATTCTGTAGATTTCTTGATCTGGATCTAGATTTTAGAAGATCTTGTGTTGAGTTGAGAGTGAGAGTTGAAGTAAGTGTGGATCTGTCTAGAGTAATCGTACCGGTTCGGGCAGCACGTTTTTTTTTTTGCTGTCGGGCACTGGAGTACAAAAAGATCGTTTAAAACTTTGTTTTCAAATCTAGCCCCAAAATGGGCCAAAAGAGTGGCACACAAACCTAAAGTTTTCAAAGCAACCTCCCTTTTTCGTTGAAACAACAGTTACGGCGATATTTTGCTAAAAATAGTCCTTTAGACAGCTTTTTCTTCATCAGCTGAGCAAAACAG